TACAACTGCAAAAAGTAAACAACTTTGGTTACACACATATATTTATTAAGAAAGATGCGACAAAGAAGACTGCCTTATTTTTATTGAAATTAAGTAGTTACGTATCATATGAATATAACAAGTACTACTTCACATGATATTCTCAAGCATTACATAATGAAGGTATGAGCTTAAACCTTTATTCTAAACCAAGAACTCCCTAATTTATCAATGCAAGTGTTAGTACACTAACTACTAACTAGACTAGTTAATCTTTAAAAAGTCGGTAGCAGGATACCATAATTATTAATTTAAGAATTTTAATTTTTGTATACCAGATAAAGTTCATTAATTCACAGACTTCATGATTAGCTAAATCACTTGTTGTACTGAAGTATATCCCATAGATGTAGAAGCTACAAAAATATCCATAGATCCATTATATGATGCTGAACTCAAGCATGAAAAAGAGGAGGGGGTTCAAGAAGAAAAATACTGATCTTCTAAAAGAATACACATGAAAGGATATTGTCATTATATTGCAAATGCAAAATGTTATTTGTTAAATGAACATAAGAAGAAGCTATAGCTCCATCCTATACCCAAGTTTAGAGAGTTCTTACATCAATAACAACTCTGGCATACTGCAACACCTCCTCCTCATTTGGAGCTCCACTGTATTCTGCATAGTTTCCAAGCTCCGAAGCATAACCTAAATCTCCAATGTAATTGGACAAAAAATATTGAAGAATTTTAGCATGCAAGTGGGAGAAAAATTGAAATTGTGGGATTTCAGCCACATGAAATATGAAACATTCCAGCAATTGAAAGGTGGGAAATGGTAGATATATACCTACCATGCACTTTTCAACCGGGCATTGGTAGATATATACCTACCACGCACTTTTCAACCGGGCATTGGTAGATATATACCTACCATGCACTTTCAACCAGCAATATGAAACATTTCAGACCACTGCTTACCATGCACTTTTCAACCGGGCATTGGTAGATATATACCTAGGCAATCAAAGAAAATGAAGTAGCATTAGAAGGACAAGAAATGAGAAAACTTACAATATCAGCATATATAACACTTGCACCACCACCTGCTACCATTGTCCAGATTCGTCCTTTAGGGTTCAAAACAGTGAACTTCAAGGACGTGCTCTTGCCTGCAATGTAACCCATGCATCAGTTCACAAATCTGCCTCTTATAACTTTTGAGACAAATTCTTTACTCTAAAATACACCCCATAATGAACTAATAGAATGTTAAAGTTCATGGAAGAATAGCAATCAAGAATTAAAAAAAACATAAACATGAGAGAATTAACAAAGCTTTTTGTAGGACTCAGGACTCTGCCAAAAGGTAGTAGGAACTCAATGTTGCCCCACCTGCAAAGTATAGCACAACTTTATATGATCAATACACCTTTTATGAACTCTCCAATTTTGTCTCGAACCTAAGCCAAGTAAAATATGTAAGTATACCTTAAGTGTGGAAGACAGTAATATGCTCAAAAACAAAGCCAACTAGAATACATTGTACATGAAAACTGTTGAAGACTCAAACAGAGAAATAGCTTCTTCAGTGATCAAGGGCAGAATACTTTGTACATAAAAAACTATCTCACACTATGCAGTAAACTTGGACCACCCATTATCTATCCCAAAATCTTTCACCATCCATTGCATGGTTTGAATTAGAGGGGCACCAAAAATCACAAACTCCAGCAAATTTAAATTAATATTTAAAATCTTTAGATAGATATTTTCTTTTATTTCTTTCTAGATCCTAAAGTGTTGGTGTACTAAACTGACAATGATTATTCATCATGTACTGCAGGCATCACTGGCCCTTGGTTGAACAATGGCATACAAGCAGGCCACATATGCACAGGATGGCATAGTAGAAAGATAAACTTAATGCCCAAAAAAAGATCATAAATCTCATGATAAGAATAGGCAAAGAAATTCCAGGTAATGCAATATCCATGTTTAATGATGTATCATTTGAAAACAGTGAAAACAACATGATTGAAAGTACCTCCAAAGGTAGTGTAGCAATCAGTGGGGCACATGCCTCTGATGTCATAGGCTTCTCTAAAAGAAAAATTCATTGCCCAATGATGGTCCTGAAGATCTTCTGTAAGAGTACACATGAACAAATACTAATCAGTAGAAAAAATTAAGATATTTTAACCTTATTCTCAATTTTGATCAATAACTATGACCTAAAACCAAATTCTTATAAACATAATACAACTAATAGATATGATCCAATGATGGTCCTAAAGATCTTCTGTAAGAGTAAACATGAACAAATACTAATCAGTAGAAAAAAAAATTAAGATATTTTAACCTTATTCTCAATTTTGATCAATAGCTATGACCTAAAAACTAATTCTTATAAACATAATACAACTTACAGATATGATCCTCTCCTTCAACCTAGGTTGTTACATTGCAGTAATTGAAGTGATCCCATTGCTGAAACTTAGACACAATTTTCTATGACAACAACAATAAGCAACCTCAGCTTTAAATAAACTCATCTTCATAAAGCTTTAAATAAACTTTAAAAAAATCTAACAGTCCAAGTTCACATACAATCAAGTTTGATTTGAGTTCAGTGCAAAAAAATATACTATTAGTCAAACAAATGTATTACATACCTCCAGGAAAGAGATTCTTTGACTTCAATACCTTGCGTGGTTGGTGAGCTAACAGCCGAAAGAGCACCGTTACTATCAAAAGCAGGGTAATCTGATGCACTCTTTTCAAGGGTTCGAAGAATATCTGAAACTTCACCAGTTTTCAGGGGATAAAACAATTGTAGAGTTCCCTACTTTCCTTCCGGTTCGTAATTGGTTTAGGAGAAATTGTAGAGTTCCCTTCCACTGTGGCATCTTCGTCGTCCCTACTCGGATCTTGATGCTATTGCCCCTCTAAATTCTCTTCGGAATTAAGAAAAGAAATCTCAGCTAAATCATCAAATATAAACTTCAGTTTCTTTTTGTTGGCTTCTACAGACAAAAGTTCTTCGAGCCGCTAACCATTCCCATCTCTATCAAAATCAACCTGTCGAGTATTCAAATTGACCTCCTTGTTCGTGGCTTCATAGTTCTCTGAATTGGTGTTGGAAGAGAAATAATAAGCTCGGTGAAGAGATCTTTGAATCGGTGGAAAGTATTCAGAATGAAGGAGACACAGTAGTACTTTGAATCGGTGAAGAGAGAAGAATAGGCTCGAAGAAGATAATGGAGATTTAAGGATTTAGTTCTCTAAATCAGTGGAGGAAAAAAAGATGTATATACTCAAAGAAGGAAGAAGATATACCATCGAGGTTCATGGAAACCAAGATATTCTAGCAAGGGATTCGTCATTCGGTATTAACGAAAACGACTCCCTTTCTTGCGCAACTAAACTGTTTTGGCGGGACCCCTAAAATTTTATCATCTATTTATTTTTTTTATTTTATTTGCAAATAACAACCATCGGGACACATGGTGCGGTATGTGACCTGTTTTACTTAAAACTTGACCGCCAGCCCTTGAACGGGTAACAATTTTTCGATTTGCCGATCATTGCTGACACTTACATAAGGCCGCCGGCAGAAAACCGCTGGCCTATTCCGTTTTTCTTGTAGTGATATGAGAACCATTAAACAAAAACCAAAAATAAATTTGAAAAAAGAAACCAGCAAACAAAACACATCTGTAAATAAAAAACGAACTCCAAATTAACCTGAAGAAACCCTCTACAAATGACCGACTGTGCAATCAAAAAGTGAACTCCAAACTTGTTAGAAATGGCACGTTCAATATTGAAGAGAAAAAAACAAAAAATGATGAAAAAAAGTAGAAAATGCGAACCTGAAATGTCTCTACAATATTCTCAGTTACTTGTCAACTCTGAAACGTCTGGTGCAAATTTGAAGAGAAATTTGGAGGAAAACACTAAAATTAACGTCTGCGACCAAAACGTCTCTGCTACTGGGAAAACGTTTGGAATACCTACGTTTCAGATATCTCATGCAGAAATGCTTGGGAAATCTAAACGTTCAGATATATCTCTTGATATCAGGTGGAATAAAAAAATTAAGAAAAAAAAAAAAACAGAAAAATAGAATGGGGGCTTTCATGCAAGGAGAGGCCTGCTGAGTATAGGGCAGGGAAAGGGATAGGATGCCCTCCCTGGAATCCACCTCATTGTCATTGAATTAATCAAAATATTAGTTTTTATAATTAATTTTATTTATTTAAAGTTAATCAATTTTTTATTTAAAAATAATAAAAAGAATAAAAATTATTAAAATTAAAATAAATTATTACTAAAACTAAATTTATCAAAAAATATTTATTCATATTAAATTAACAATAATTGTTTTTTATAAATCAACATTAAATGAAAAATAAAATTATTAAAGCTTTCAGATTTTCCAGATGTAATATTTATTCACTTCTCTCCTCACACTCTTTCTTCCACCTCACTTCTCCTCGTCTTCGTATCTAGAAGGGCATAATAGGAATTTAAAAATTTTAAATGAATTCATATGTAGAAGGGCTTCAGTATTGACCTTAAATTAATCAAGTTTGTAATTATCCCGTATGCTTTGGACGAAGTCCTTCTGCATTAAACTTTCTATCGTTATCTGCAGCGTGCTGGGGTTTGATTAGAGGTTACAGCGAGTAACAGACGAGCACGCTAACTCAAAACCTGTGAGACGTCGATTGTGGCTTGGTTTAAGGCTTAAAGCAAGAGGATTGTTAGAGTAGCAAGTTGGAGTTGAGTCGGTTAACCTCTTGTTGTTACTAACCAAATCATGGATTATGTATGACGCATACATGCATAATCATACTAGCTAGAGACCTGCGGCATTGCATAGATTTGGCTCTACTCCGGTTTCAGGTTTGAAGTTGAACATCTACGCTTCATAACTCATGTCTCATCACTATCTTTTAATTTGTCGTTATAACCCAAAGTGTATGAGAAGGAATCAAAGCTGAATTCGGAAGATGGAAGAAAACATAATGAGGGAGAAACAACCATTTCCTGCTCTTAGTCGTTCTCTTATCGTATATTTGTACGTTGGGCACTTCTTAACAAGATGGGGAACAAGGTCCATTTCTACCCTCTTCATCAAGATGTCTTTCGATATTTTAATTCCTTGAATATTTGATCCCTCTGCTGCCTCTCGGTTTCCTTTCGTTGTCCTTTTCTATAATGTTTTTTTTTTTTTTTAATCTCAATCCATTTCTTTATGAACCCCTGCCGCTTCTAAGCGTGACAATGATAGAAATGCTGGCCTTCAGATTGCTTGAACTTGAACTTTGGCTCTTTTCCTTTTAATGCCGAAACACATATAACTAATATTTGTGATTTTTTACTTCCTTTTATCTAACATTTTTTTTTTCATATGGGCTTCATACAACACATGGATTGTCATTCTGATTGCACTAAAATTTCTGACCCTGTGCAATAAAATTGAAGTCCTTTAAGAATTCTTGTAATGGAAATGTAGTGACATATATTTAGATGGATGAGTGGTAAAACCAGAAAGAACAGGGTCAGAAGAAAGTTGATTGAAATGGTTCGGTCACATGCACAGAACTGATAGAAGATCATCTATTAAGAAAAGTGATGTGTTATTAAAGTTGAAGAGACTAAAAGAGCTAGGAGCAGGCTGGAAGAGATTTGGGTAGAAGTAATAAGAACTGATAGAAGATCTCTTTTTGCTTGTTTGCAGAATGTGGGAATTCTCCGTTGGGTTATACATGATCCACATTTGGCCAAAATCTTTACTCTTCGCTGCTATTTATGGGGTCGTGGAATCTGCCTCTGCTGCATTATTTGGTCCCATCATTGGACGATGGGTGGACAGATTGACATACGTACAGGCCGGTTAGCCTCCTGAATTGATATTAAATCATATGCATGTGCATGCATGCCCCTTCTATTTATCAATATAGACTTGTCAATTGGTATCGGTGTTTGGAAGATTAGACTCAGTGCTTTTAATTTTTAACAGTCTGGGGACAAACAGGAGTCCATGATTGATAGTTGATAATATTAAGCATTTCCATGCAGATGTGTAGTGACTGTTTTGCATAAGATCACTGTCTCTTAGCATTGGCTGTTCAATATGACGAAGCTGACTGGTTAAGTGCTTAATCAATTTGTGGATGGTTTCTGGGTGTGGTCCTCTGTACAGAATTTGAGAAACTGCTCTCATTTTAGAATTGCTCTCTGGCAGGTTCTCCGACTGTGGTTGTTGACCCAGAATCTGTCTTTCATTATTGCTGGTGGGGCAACAGTAGCTTTAATTTTTCACTCAAGCTTGAAATCAATATCTTTTGTGGCATTCATTTCACTTTTTGTATTAACGACCGTTTCTGGAGCAATTGGTGTGTTATCAACTCTGGCTGGAACCATCTTGATTGAAAGAGAATGGTAAAATAAACTGTAGATTTTAGAATTCTCCAACATATAAACATTTCAACTCTTGTATATGAAAGTATGAAAACCCTGGTGTTTTCATATTCCTAAAGTTTACCTGTAAGAAGCTTATACTAAATCACCCCTCTGTCATTTTTATAATACTAGAGAATATTTATGCACCTGATTATTAACCTCTAGTGGTTGAATTTTCAGGGTGGTGATTATTTCTGAAGGACAGCCTCCAGAAGTACGGACAAAAATGAATGCAGTTATCCGACGGATTGATTTAATCTGCAAACTATTTGCCCCCGTCATTTCTGGGTTCATTATCAGCTTTATATCACTCAAAGCATCGGCAGTGACTTTAGCACTTTGGAACACTGTATCTGTTTGGTTGCAGTTTTGGCTTCTAATGTCTGTATATAATGGAATTCCTTCTCTAAGTGAAAGAAGCCAAAAGAGGATCACAAGGCCCAGACCAAATGATCCATTAGAGGACCCATCTATTTCTCAGGTAATAGAGGCCTTGCCCTCTCATGTGGAAAGTGGTTCAGGAGCAGAACAGAAAGGGAATAGTAAAGTTGATGAAGAAAGTG